ACAAACTTTGTAATACACTTAATTTCCACAGTCACTTTCAACTTAACTACTTTTATAAACACACGCTATAATTCACAGAGAGTCAACACTTTACTTATGTCTTTAATCGATTATCTCTATCTTCGGTATCTCTATATATATGATTCCTGCTTTATTTGCCGGGCTTATATACTAAAAAAAAGAGGGTGCATGGAACAGACTAGAGTTGCCAGGACAATTCAAGATCCTTCGAGAATCTCATGACGTGTTACTAGCGTCACGTGATTTCCGCTGTCATAACAATATTTTTGAATCCACAATATTATGTAAACTTGGTAACCATATTAAAAGTATGAACTTTAATTCAGTAAGCATTACAGGATTTGCAGAGATAAAAGTATTATACTCAATTACGACCATGTTTTCAAACTGCTCTGATAATCAAAGTTCCTTGTGTTTCTTTTACTCTCGCATATCAGGGAAGTGCTCTACCAAATGAGATATAAGGTTAACCACTAGCAATTTCTTTTTAATAACTGCAACTACCACTACATATTGTGTAACTTTTGGTTTAGGTTAATGACTACTCAGTTTTAAAATGTGCATTTTTCTTTCCTCTTGAGTTTGCCAAGATTTAGTAATTTATAAATTATACAGAATACAGACATGAAAAATTACTTTCAGACGAACATGGCATGACTACTATGAACAAGAAGAAATTCTCAAGCTAAGGCAGGCTGCACTTAAGAAAGAAGATGCTGATTTACAGTTAGAGCTGGAGAAGCTGGAGAGAGAGAGAAATCTTCATATCCGAGAACTAAAGAGATTACATAATGAAGACCAATCAAGGTAAAGCATGAAGTCCATTTTGTTCTCAGTGGGTTACCTGTTTAATAATCATAAAAAATTAAACTTCTTTCCTTAATGTGACTTTTGAGATTTGTTTTTCTTTGTTGCTTGTATTTTGTTGCAGGAATTATAATTGTCATTTTTACCTTACATTGTCTTGTTTTGTAGTTGTGTTGTTTCTTTATAAATAGCCATATTTTTTTTAGCCACTTTTTTTTCTTCTGTTTTTGTTATATATATATATTGGTATCAAGCTTATCTTAGTTTAGAAAAAAGTCAAAAAAATTTTAATTTTCACCAAAGGTAATTTATCATACTATTTATAATTTTGTTACTAAGATTTTGAAGTGATATAAGTATTAAATTGAACAAAAATTTATTACTCGACACTGAGAGATGTATTAAAATTACAAAATTAAATAAAATTGGTCTCAAATCTTCATGCACTTTTGCAAATTAGAAAAGTCCGTCATTTGGATATAATTTTTTTCTGATAATCATCATAACATGCCCCAATGTGAATATTAGGATGCATAAAAGATCTTATTAAAAAGCCTGAAAATTTGTAGTGACAATTTAATTGCTCAAATTGGAGGGTGGAAGGTTGTATATTTTCCTGTATTAATACTGTCAAATAACCTTCAGATAGATTTTGTTTTGAATCTCTAATTATTATTTAATTGTCATAATTATTGCACACAGAAAAACCTCTTTATGAATAAAGTATTAGTTTACTTTTAGTGGTCAGTTACAATATAGTAATTAATGATTTTAAACTAAATGGTTTGATTAATGATTATTTAAAAAAAAGATTTGCACATGTCATGATGTACAAATATAACAAAAAAAAAGACTAAAAACAGTAAACAGGGGATTGTTCTATGTGTTTTTATTTTCATATAAGTATACTTATAGTGGTTAGTAAACGAAATGGGCATGTTAAATAATATTTCCTTGAACATCTTTGCAGGTTTAACAATCACACAGTATTGAATGAAAGATACCTTCTTTTGACTCTACTTGGAAAAGGAGGATTTAGTGAAGTACATAAGGTACACTTGTGGGCTTTAAAGTTTTATCTAACAATTATATAGAATATTGTGGAATACTGAGTACAGGAATATTTCTAAACAAAGTAGGGATGAACAATACAATACTTTTTATTTTTGCAAGGAAAGAAAAAAATTAATCTGTTTGTCTAAAAATACAAACTTTTTTGAAGTAATTTCAAGTCGTATGTTTCTGCTAGATCAAACTATATATAATATTAAATTATCAAGTTCAATTTGGATCAGATACAATATTATCACAAGCTGATACTGCCTTAAATTATATTGAATGATAAATTTTATATATATTTGTATATATATATATGCAGAAGAAGACTAAGGAAAGAAAAGTTCTGTTAATACCATTCATTAAATGGTTATATAAATTACAGTGTATCAAATTGAAAATTATATTACCATTAAAAGTGGAAGAATAGATTAATCCATAAATAAATAGAAAAACTGGAAACAGATGTTTGATTAGGTATTTTTTTTACTCCCATACTTTCCTTGTGCAACTAATCTTAATTAATAACTAAGTTTTTTTTTATTATTGTCTGAACATTCTCTGTTTATTAATTTTTTTAAATAGAATTACCAATGGATCTTTGTCTTTTATGCTGTTGCTTTTTGTGTTCTTTCTTTTATGTATATTGTTTCTCAGGGAAGCAATTTAGATTACCAATTATTCTGGTAAATAAGTGAGTAAATACATAACTTAAAAGATTGGAAAAGTAACCTTGTGGCATATTTAGTAATTAATTAAGATTTTAGGTTATAATTTCTAACTAAGCATAGCACTTTCTGAAAGAGAGCATTTTTAGAATTCATATTTAGTTATGTATGGAAAAGTGTTGAAACCCCTTTATGAAGAGGCTGTACAAAATAAACCAAGCTTTATTTTGAAGCATCAAAATTAATATCTGTGTAAATACTAAGGAAGAAATATACTTGAAATATAAAGTAAAATAAAAATTACACAAACTACTACATTAAAGCTAACAATAAATTGTTAGTTTTTAAATAATTAATAAAGAAATGCCAGCTAATAGCTATCTAAATGTAATCTCTTCTGAATCAAGACAATAGCTAATTATCTATACTGTTAACTAAAGCGAGTTTATATCTCAAACAATTAAGATGGTTTTGGTGCCCCAAGTTGATTCATATTTCTTTATTTTTTTAGTGCAATTAAGTAAAAGGGATATTCCCATCTTAGACATTCTAAATTCCCAATCTGAACACATCTTTATGATCTGAGTGTATGAATGTAGTGTCAGAATGGTGTATTACTTACTATTTCCAAAAGCAATCAATTTTTTGTGGCATCGCATTAACTATGAAATACCAAACAATTTCCGAATGTATTTCTGATATGCGCCATTCCACCTTGACTTTATATTAGCCATGGTTGTCAAGTGACTTGCTTACTTGCATCAACATTATTTAAGTGTAATTGGCTCAATCCTCTGTATACAGGTGTTCTACGTGGTAACTTGGAGATTTCACATACCCTGCCTGACTGAGCCTCTCCGCCTCTCTCATACTGTGACATAGTAAAAGAATTATGAAAATTTACAAATTTTTATTGTCATTTGTTATAAATATTGTTGTCTTACATTCTAGGTTAATTAGCTGATAAAAAAAATCACCTTCACTTCTTGCTTCATACAAGATGTTTTTTTACTTTATTGCAGAACTATTAAAATATCTACTGATGAAAATAAACTTGTTAATATAAGAAAAAAGCTCTTTTATTCATATTTATTGCTCTTTCATCTCATATAATTCAAATAGGTTGTTCTTTCATATAATAATTTCATAAAGAATATTCAACTAATATCGGGAAATTTTAGGTTTTTAAAACCAACAGAATTAATATATATATATATTATTTTTATTTTTTTAATGCTTTTAATCACATAACTGGATACACAGAATTACTATTCATAGTTTTGTTCTGGTATACCACTTACTTGTTTATTTGTATATATGTACAAATAATCCAGCTGGATCCTGTACATTGTGCCTATACATTAATCATGCAGTTGCAGTTTATAGAGTTTATTGATGTCTTTAATGATATTTACATATTTGGGTAGAGTTGCTTTTGAAACATGCTATTAATGTGTAAAATAGCATTGTTTTCATTCAGTTTTGACATAGTAGTGTTGAAGTTGCCATTACAAACTTAAGCTTGTTGGTGTGGAATTACATAATGAAACTCAAATTGAAAAAATGAATGTTGCACACATTTATAAAAAGGTTACATAGAGGATTTAACTGTTTTATTTTTACATTATTGTTTGACTTATATATGATATCATATATGTTTTATTTTATAGCGAAAACAATTATTAAAGTACAAGTTGCTAGATTTGGATTTGGTGCACCAGTTGTGAGAGTTTTGCAATTTCAGTGGAATGAAATAGATAAATGCGAAACCTGTTTTACTGCTATGTATTTGTAGGATAATTGGCTAAGTTGTTTATCAAGATCACAAAACAATCAATAAAATACTTTTGCCAGTATATATGCTTTACCTACATATATTCTATGCTCTTTTTTACATTACTTTCACTGCAGCATTAGAGCAAATAAAGCAATATTATATTCTAAGTTTTATTTAGTTTTTAAATAATTATTTTTGTAAAGAAAATATCATCTTATGAAAACAATTTTCATTAAGACTTTTTATAATTTCTGTGTTTGTAAGTAATGTAACACTAATTGAGATCTTACTATAAACTTATTAAAAAACCTGTTTACTTAAAGAAAACGTCTGCTCTGAAAGCTGTGTTTTTCTTTCTTTTTTCTGTTTGTTATGTTTAGTTTAGTGTTTATTTCTGACTTACTACTGTTAATTAATACTCAAAAGTGACAAGTAAATACTACCAATAAGTAGACCTTATAATAATTCACACATTAGCATCTCAAACATTAGAAATAAAATAGCAAATTTTTCTGGAAAATTGAAAAAAAAAAAAAAAAAATTTGTAAGAAACTGAAGAGCAGCTGTAGGATACTGCAAAAGTACTCTTTCAAGTGTGATATTTTTAAAATTCTCATGCTGGATTTTACGAAATTAATTTAAAAAGGAAATGACTGAATGTCGTGACTTTCTATTTTATATATATATATTGGAAACTTTATGTATGAGCCATAACTGAAACCCAATTTTGTAAATTTTAAACACTTTTTATGTAAATTATAACTTCTTTTGTCTCTGATTTTTTTAGTGTTGTTTGACTTTTTTAAACCTGTGTGACAAGATTTCTTTTTATAATTTTTCACTCAGTAAAATTATTTTGAATATGCAAATTAGCAAGTCATATGACAAGCCAATATAGCGTCACAGGGGAATGGAATGTATCAGAACTATATTTTGACATCGTTTGGAGTTTCATAGGTAATGTGATGCCACTGAAAATTATTGCTTTTGTGAAGGATATGTAACAGCCCCTTCAAATTCAAAATATTTATATACTCGGATCATAAAAATCATGTTGAGAATTTACAAGTTCCAAGATAGAGATATTCCTTGTACTTAATGGCATTGGAAAGCAAATAGATATGAATCAACCCAGGGCATGAGGATCATTTAGAAAGAGACCTACAACAAACTGTTGAAATGGGCACAGGGAAACCATTGTCCATGTACATTAGGCAGCTCATAGAATGTAATCATTGAGGAGTGGTGGGCTTTGGACATGACACCCTTATGACAGAGCCTTTTGCTGTGGAAACTATGCTACAGGACTATTGTCAAGATGCATGTTCGTCGGTTAAAACATGACTGGATGTGGTGACATGGACTGTCATAACTTTGTGAGATTCACAAATTATTTGAATATAACATACTCAACCTTTTGTAATGCTACTTTTTGTTTTAAAGCAACTTTTAGACCAGTTTCTGAATGTACTTATATATTTATATTTCACTGTTTGTTTCCAGGCTTTTGATCTTAAAGAACAACATTATGTAGCTTGTAAGATTCATCAATTAAACAAAGACTGGAAAGATGATAAGAAGGCTAATTACATAAAGTAAGTTTTCAGATTTAGTAAGATAAAAATCTGAAACAATAAGATTTTAAATATATTCAAGTTCACTTGACAAAGTGAAATAACACAAGATTAGAGTATTTTAACAATTATTAAGTTATTTTAAATTACATACAAATGAAGTTACAGCTATAAAGCTGAGATAATAAAACTTCATAACAATATTTAGTGTTCTATATATTGACAATGAAATAAGGTGTATCATAAGATTGAATAAAGCATTGTCATTTAAATGTTTGTAGAATGTTTTTGATGGTGTTGCAAAGAAAATATTCTCTAACAAGTTGGAAGATGGGACAAAGTAATGATTTTAACATTCCAGTAACATAAAAGTTATTATTTTGCAGTAAAACTTAGCGAACATAAAATGGAGTTAAAAAATGTGATAAGTTTTATGTGTACAGAATTGAAAAAGCTTAGATCATTAAATTTCCTTGGAGAGAGATAAAGCAATTGTATTTTGTATTTCTTTGTACAGACTTTACTAAACAGTAAGTTTATCTTGACAGGCATGCTTTAAGAGAATACAATATTCACAAGGCTTTAGATCATCCACGAGTAGTCAAGCTGTATGATGTGTTCGAGATTGATGCCAATTCGTAAGTTCAAATGTTTCATCACTGAAAGAAAAATGAATTTAACTGCAAATGTTTTACTGTGTAAATATCTTTACACTGATTTAACAGTTTTTCCCTTGGTAGAATTTTAACTATCAAAATACATAAAAAAATATATCAATCATTTTCAAACTTTGAATATAGCTACACTTAAAAAATACTGCTTTCTTTTTGAATTTATTCATCAGTTATAATAAGTTATGTCCAAGTATGCTTACGTAGTATAATATTTTGATTTGTATAATGTTAATTAAATGATGCTAAAAAATCTGCATTATGTTTTTCATGTTATAATCATATTTATTAAAATTTTATTGTATTTTGAAGATATTCTGTGAACAGTAGAGTGCAGAATACTGACAAAGAAAACATGATATTAAAGTAAAGATTGATAAAATTGCTGCTTGACAAATAAGCAACAGTTTTTGATTGTCATATAAATAAATTACAATGAAGAACTGCTATATACCCTTCCCAAATTTGATCATTTTTGGTGGTATCCCACTACCTACAAACCAATGAAGTCAAAATGTAGTTGAGATATATGTTATTCCACTGGAACTTTATGTTGGCTATGCTTGTCGTGCGACTTGCTGATTTGCATATTCAAAATCTTTTGATGTAATGTACTCAACCATCTGTGTTGTTGCACTTAATGTTTCTTTGTTTCTTTAGCTCAAGGCTATTTTGCATCATCGAATTAAATTGAAATAACATACCATTCTGAAATTGTACGTAAAACTCTATAGTGCAAGATTTTAAGTTAAGCGTCCTTCTCCTGTTACAGTTTGTTCTCAAAATTCATACATCCTTCTAACTCTGTGGTCCTAAAATTTTGGTTCATCTCCAGGTTCTGCACTGTGCTAGGTTATTGTGGTGGTCATGACTTAGACTTCTGCCTCAAGCAGCACAAGAGCATCCCAGAGAAAGAAGCCCGTTGTATCATCATGCAGGTGGTGCATGCTCTCAAATACTTGAATGAAATCAAGCCTCCCGTCATTCATTATGACCTCAAACCTGGTTAGTTTGATGTTATTAATTGTTTTGCTATGTTTTAGTTTGCATAGTTTTGCTGCAAACTTGTATGATGTTCAGTATTGAAATATACTGTATTTTGTATAACATTTATATCTGTAATTCTTATTAAAAATTCATAAATAAAAATTATTTGCTTTTGTGCTATTATACTATACGGCACTTAGCATTTAGTGCATGTTTTATACCCAATTTTAATTTATAATAATCACTATGAATAAAAATATAAGCCAAAGGTATGCACCCATTATTTCATTCAGTAATGTTGTTTATGTCATTTTGAGGAAAATTGTAACAACTTCTTTATATTATTTTGTCTTCTCAGACTATATTTCACCAAGGGTTACAAGAGTAAAACTGAAGTGTCAAAATAAAGGTCATTATTTGCAGGAATAAAGTTTTTTTTTTATTTGCAAAACTACTTTTTTTTATATATATATAAACATCTTGATAAGTTTCATAAAATAAAAAGAACAAAACAAAGTTGAGTCATTACCCATTTGTAATTAGGTCAAAGAAATTGGTGTGTGTTTGAAGCAAACATCTAGTGAAAACAATCTATTCATGACAGTTTGACAAATTAGCTGACAGTATTGGATGAAGACTAGAATTTATAGCATGCCCCTTTTTATTGCTAACACAGAAGGAAATAATTTATGGTTGAAATTATACTAAAAATTTTTATTTTTATTGATTTTTAAGGTTTTCTAAAGAAATAAAAATAATTGAACGAAATTAGGGTGAATTTACTGACAAATTATTACAAAAATGTAATGTAATATATTTATTACTAGGTTTTCACATTTTAAATTATTGATGTAAGTGGTCTGAATAATGTGCTTAACTCTTTTAACACGGGCTCTGTCCCTGGGACCAACCTATTAACCATTTTGTGCTTGTTATAGTTTTCATGCTATAACTTTTAAATTAGTAAGCATATGGTAACGAAATTTGGCTGTTTATCAGTTAACATTACAATGCTTTCATGTGCAAAATATCAAAATTTTTTATTAAGTCTTAAGGTTTGTTAAACAATGTTTTTCTAATATCTTTTATTTATTTTCACATGTTGCCTATTCAACATGCAAAGTAATTTTCATTTCAAGATTAAAAAATACTTTTATGCATCGGAAAATTTTCAAATTTTCCATGCAAAATCTTTATAATGTCCAGATAGTTATCAAACATTTCTTAAGAAAAAACTTTATATTTTATCTGTTATTATCACTAACAACTTTCTT